GGCTCGCCTCGGCGCGCCTCTGTGCCTTCGGCTCCGCCCTCCCGCCTGGAGCTCCCGTTCCCGCTCCGGCTCCACTCGACCGGCTCGGGCCTCGGCTACGCGGGCTGCGGCGGAAGATGGCGGCGCCGGCCGACTGCTCCGAGGCGGCGCTGGCTGCTGCCCTGGCGGACGTGCCCGGCCTGGCGCGACTTCTGGAGATCGACCCGTACCTGAAGCCCTACGCCCCCGACTTCCAGCGCAGGTACGGCTCGAGCCCCTCACTCCTCAGAGCGGGCCAGCCCGCCCCCCGGCGCGGCTCGGGGCTCCGCCGCCCCTCGGCTCTGGGGGCGCAGACCCCGCCCCGTGGCCCCGCCCCTCGCGGGCCCCGCCCCGGCCCCGCCCCCGACCTTGCAGGGTGGCCGCTTCCGAGGGTCGCGTTGGGTAGGCATCGGTAGTTGGGGCCGGTGGCTTCCGGAGTTGTGGGTTGACGACTGTGCCCCCGGGCTGGACGCGGAAGCGCTGAGTACACTCCCCACCCCCCTGCGGAACCAGCGGCTCTGCGCCACGGCGCGCGCGCTGTGGCTCCCAGCGCCCGTTTCCTCGCTGCTCATGCGGAGGGAGGGACGCCGCTGCAGGGTGCTCTCCACGCACGGAGAGGTCCTGTTCGTCGGCGTGTGCGGGGCCCCCGGCCTGGGTACCTGCGCGGTTAAAATGCTTGGTTCATAGCAAATGTGACTCTGTATCCAGCAGGATTCTTCCAGGCAGCTTTTGTTCTTTCCTTGTTAATATTCCCTTTCTCTGCAATGCTTAAGCCTGTTTTGGGCCCCTTTTGGGCCCCCCCCCCTTGGGCCAACATTGACGAATAAATGAACAGCACCCTTCGTCGGTGTTTGGCATTGCCCCCCAAGAGGGAGAAAGGCGAGGAAAGCCAAACTTCTCGACGCCAACTTAGGATGCTTTAGCTTTAGTTTGCCTGCTGTCACGCTGTAGTAAATTGGTTCACCACAATTAAGTTGCTGGGATAATTCTAGTAGTAAGCTCAACTTAAAAGGTACAGTTTTTAAGATTAAAATAGCTGTTATACTAGTTACATTTATGAGATAAGCACGTTGTGATTTAATGGTTTCTGCCCCTTTTTAGCTGAGTCACTTGATAATGAAAACTACCGAGGCAACAGAATATACATAGTCAAATTTTAGTAATAGAAAACGTCTAGCTAGTTACTGGCAGGAAGCAACATTGGGGGTAATGAAAGACGGTTGATTGGAGTTGAAAAACAATGTTAGGTTCATGACCTGGCATTGTCACTTACTACCTGTATTCAGTTAGGCAACTATGAACGAAAAGTGAGGGACACAGAGTTGAATACGTCTCCTTGCCGAGCTTGTATATCCTAATGAAGGAGCCCTCCTCAAAGTGGTCACCTTGAGCTGTTGCTCCCTTAATCAAGATGATTGGGCCCTTATAGAAACTGTTTGGAGAGCAGCTTTGTGAAATTGCTTTCACTCTTTACAATATATGCTTTTAAAGAAACTTAGTGCATGATCTTCAGAGTTCAAGATTGAATTTGATTTAGAAATAGTCAAAAAAGTTTAGAGCACGTGATGGTCAGACTTTTTTGATGTGCTTATTAATGATGGCACTAAGTTACTTGTATGCTTTGTAAAATGACACATTCTAAAAGAAGAGTGGTGGAAATGTTTTGTTTACATTTCTCCTCCTCTTTTAAAAAAATGATCACAAGCAAACAAACATCCCTTGTTAAGTGTTTCTTTCCTGTAATTCACTTCACCTCCACTGAGATTGAAGCATTTATGATCCTCTTTCATGGCTTGTCAAAACTAATGAGACAGACAAAGGCCAGAATAAAGAAGTGGGGGCATCCAGTGTTCTTGGTGAAAAGGCTGGTTCGATGGGCCCTTGTGCCTTACTCTGACCTTATTCTATTTGTGGCCTTGGTGCTGAGAAATTGCCATTTTCCAGCACACATGTTCCACTTAGGCATGTCAAATAGTAATTTGGCACTTGGCAGCAGTAACTTTTACTGTTAACATTTGAAAAATAAAAAATTTCTCCTTCATAAAGTTTGGTCCTGGTTACTTTTCCTATTTTCCTTTTATTTCTAATAACCCACTTGGGCAGTGTGTCTTTAGCCTAACACAAATATATAAACCAATGTTACTGCAATAAACAAAAAATTAAAAAGAAAAAAAAAAAAGACAGGGCTGTAAAACCCATTTGGATGATACACTCAAGGCAGAAATAGCTGGTTCCACTGTTGATCCTGGGAAAAAAAAAAAAAATATATATATATATATATATACAACCAGTCAAACGTAAGTGCAAAGTATGCTTACTAAGGAAAATTTAGGGTACAGACAACAGTGTGTGAGAATGATGATGGAGGAGGCAGTTTCTTCTTGATGGACTGTCTCATCTTTCCTCAACCAAGATATCTTCTTTAGAAATTCTGTTATGTACATTTTGTTGTTCTAGGTTACCTTTTCTGTAACTGTAAGAATGTTGAATCAAGTGTGAAGATTAGTAAATTACTCTGTGCCATAAAATAAAAATTAGTACATTACTGTGTGTGACAGCCCCTGTGAAGTCTCATTGATTACCTTCTAAGATACCTCCTGACTCTCCTGTTTTTTTCACCTATTATTTATAATGAAGTTAGTTTCTGTGTTCATAATTCCAACATCTTAGTGTTTTAAAACAGCAACATTTAATTGTCCCCATATTACATGGCAACGTGAGTCAGGCTGTCCTGGCAGTCACTCAAGGATCTAGGCTAATGAAGGCTTTGTTTTGAAACGTGCTTCTACAGTGTCAGTGGTGAGGAACAGAGAGCACGTTGAACCATGCACTGTTGCTCATAGCTTTTGCCTAGCAACGAGTCACTTCTGCTGATACATTATATTGGCCAGTGCAAGTCAAATGTGACTCCCAAACCCTGTGAGTGGAACAGAGAACTGACATTGGTGACTAGCACCAAGAAAAACACAGTTGCAATAACACTTGTCTATACCTTCTGTTTAAAGTTTATATAGCACTTTTAGGTATATTATGGTATTTAATTTAATACTCATAAAACCATGAGGTAGGAACGGGGGAGGTTATTTTCCTGTTTTATAGATGAAGAACCTGAGATTTGGTAAGTGATTGGCTTAAGTGCACATGGCTAGTTGCAGCTGGGATTAATGTTTCTTTACTAAAACTGTTCTCAACAAGTTCACAAATGATGACTTCTTGGTAATGTAGTGGATATCTCTTTCCTCCTCTTTATCTCTAGCGTTGGACATTTTGGACCACTTTTTGGATCCTTGAAGTGATGATGCTGTAGCTTTTCTTCCATTATCTCTGGTGGTTTCTCCTCAGCCTCTTTCTGACTGCTTAATGCATGAGATTCTCAAGGCTCTTCCCTAGGTAGCTAGATGTATTTTTACTTCATATACTTTCCCTAGGCATTCTCATCCATCCATAGATTCCATCTATGTACTGAGGCTGCCCACATCTAACTTCACCCCAAATATCTCTCCTGGTCTTAGGCATATTTATAAATATCTTCATTTTGATGTCTTATAAGTACAAAACTCAACATGTGTAAAACTGAACTTATGGTTTTTCATCCCAAACCTGATTGTCCCTTTATACCTTATCTCAGTGTGTGGTATCCTCATTTACCAACTGCTCAAGCTAAACTTAAGACTTATCTTTAATTGCTTCTCCCCCCTCTTTTTCTCTTATCTCCAGCTCCAGTCAGTAATAGTTTTTCAAGTATGTGCCACTCTATATCCTACTGCTATCATTCTATTCAAGTTGCTAGCATCTCTAGCTTGGTTTACAAAAACAACCTCTGTATTATCTGGTCCTTGTCTACCTTTTAGCCTCATCTTTGAACCCTCCTCACTCTGTACCATCTAACTAGGGAGTGCCTAAGGGTAGAGAGGCAGCTGGAATGTCTGGGGGCCATTCTACAAGGGGCGCTAAAATATCACTAGAATAAATTGGAATCATGATACCCGTTTTACACACATAATCCTTTCTTAAATATTGATTTTCATTTCTTCTTTTGTGTAGGCTCATAAGAAGTTAGAAGTCTAGAAGAATCACTGAATAAAAAGGCAAGAGAGATCAAGAACTAGAAACATTTTCTGATCTTTATCAGAAGTGACTCTTAGCTTAGTAGAAATGATTAAGTGAACCCTTTTCTGTGTTTAATTTTTATTAATAGAAAATAATTTTTCTCCACTCCATAAAATATATTTTAACACATGTTAATATCAATTTGAGGAGTGCCAGACGTTTTCCTGACTTGGATGCTACATGTTTTGGTCTAGCTGTGGGTCCAACTATGCTTTTGTACATGCTGTTTCTTCTGCTTGATGCGTATGCGTACTTTGTTTCTATCTTGTAAGTTTCTATGTGTGCTTCAGGACACAGCTTAGAGATATATTGTATGCCTTCCCTGAGTTCCTCCATCCTTAAACCTTCCTCCTACCTCTTGTCTACCATCTTGAACACCCCCATCTTAAAGATGGTCATCCTCGGTAACGTAGTTGTCTTCCTGCTCTTTTGTGTCCCCCCCTAGATTATTTGCTCCCGTAGGTGGGCACTTTGCCTATATTCTTTGCTCACTGTTGTATTCTCAGTCTGTAGAACCGTGCCTGGCTTATCGGAAACAGTATAATATTTGAATGAGCAAATGACTGAATGAATGTCTTCTGACTATTTATGTTTTTCTTTTCCTTGCCAGTGAGTCTCAGGTCAACTCACCTTAAGCTAGAAATCTTGGAAATGCTAGGATGGATGGCCAGAGAAGAAGCAATAGTTACCAGGAGTTGTGTGTGACAATTTGAGGGATGGGAATATATATTCAAGTAAAGAGCTAAAGATAACCGGAGAAAACTAAGAAAATCGTTATTAATTAGATACTTCCATACTCCACAGAGACTACAGGTTTAATCACTGAAGGAATTTTCAGTTTGAGAGAATCTGAGGTCAAATTGTGTGCCTGAGAATGGGAGGAGAGGTTTTTGTGAGCCTGTGTGTTAAGTGAACATCTCTACTACAGTGAACATCTCTATTCTGTTAGAAATAAAAATAGCTTTTACATTGGTTATCTAATCACAATTGGAAAGTAGTTTAGATTTGGTGTATCAGCAACCACACCAGAAATTGATTCTCCCAGCACAGAAGCTTTCATAGCTGAATGGTGCACTTTTTTCTCAGTGCCTGGCCAAGTTGTGGGCTCTGAAGAAAGTCAAATGTCAATGATTCTAGAAGGCAGGGAAGAACCTGAAGATTACAAGATGTACCTGGCCTGCTCTTCTGTACCAGCAGATTCATTTGCCCTTTGCAGCTGAGATGTGTCCTAACTCCAGAGTTACCCCTGAATTCTCTACAGTGTTGGGCAAGAGGCTGTGACCTTTTCTCATTTTCAAAGTGCCTTAACATGACTTGATGGAGCATTTTGGTTTCATTTAGGCTCTGGCGCCTGCTGTACCACCTCCCGAGAAATGACTGTGTGTGTGGTAACTTCTTGGAGGATTCAGTTCAGCTCCCACCAAGCTGGCCCTGGTTAGTCAGTGAGATAATAATACAGTTTCTGTGAAATGTGCTATAATTTTTGACTGATAAGTATATCATGCAGCTGTTATTTGAAAGCGCGTATTAAACTTCAATTATACATTTGTAGGTATTAACGGAAAACATGAAAGTGTTTTCATTGGAGAGAATTGCTGCTATCAGGTACCTTTCATTCTAAAGTAAGTTTATTTTTTAGTAAAGAGTAGAATCTCTTCTTGTGGTGATGCCTGCTCATCAATAGATACTCACCACTGTTTTGGATCTGGGGTTCTTTTGTGCTTAATATCCAAAAGCTGCTCTACTCTGTTTTGTGTTTAGGGTAACAGGAACCTGGTACATTGTCAAAAGGTAAAACTCCACATTAAACATACATACATTATTATACAGTCTACATTCATTAATTTATTATACAATTCCATTGTAGTTTATTTGACATTGTTTAAGTTATGGTGACTAACTTGTGAAACTTGATTGATTTTTAGTGTTTAAATGATCAAAATAACTTAGATTCTAAATTTAGTTTCTTTACATGTAAAATGGAAAAAAAATATATAAAAATATTGCTGAATGACCGTGTTGTAGTGTACAAGAGCAAGACAGGGCTTGAATTTTAGCTCTCGTAAGTGCTAAATAGCTTTGAGTTTGAGAGCAAATTAATCAACCTCTGCGAACCTCAGTTTATTCCTCTATAAAAGATGGATAGGACCTGATTTTAGGAGTGTCTTGTGGGCTAGGAATATATGTAAAGATGCTCAGTAAGTAAATAATAGTTATTTAATGACAATAATATTATTAGCAAATTAACTGTCCATCTCAAATATTTGCTAGAATATTATGTTTGGAAGATTTTCTTGTTGTGAGCGTCTTTAATGCTGTATCCTGAAATCAACCATAAGGTAAAGAACATGACCGGAAATTCCTCACAGCTTTTCCTTTTGCTAGTTAATGGCTTCTTTACTTTAGGGGGTTCCTTCTTTTTCCCAGTAGAGCGATTGTGTGAATGAGGTGAGGAGTAGTAATTTTAACCATAATCTAATAGAGAAGGAAAAGAATATGTTTAAACTTTGATCCTTTATTTGGAGAGGAAATGATAAGGCAATTGCCAGTTTACCGTAAGCTGAAGGCAAGATGAGTCCGGGATATAATGAGCACAAAGCCGCCTTTACTGAGAGAGGTAAATGCTGGCCCGCAGAAACTCAGCCTCACTCTTCTCTTGATCTTCCTTTTCTGTCTTGTCTCTTCTTTCATCTGACTGCTAAGTGTTCATGTTCTTGGGCATCAAACAGTGGCTGGGATTTTCTTCCTCCTAGACTCTGGATGGTGGGAGGAATGTCATACTGAGTTTACTATAGCAGAATAACTTCAAAAGTAAGAATAAAAATATATAATAGCAGTTTAAAAGTTTGAAAATGAAACAATTATCCAGTGGAGTCTGAACATATAATCTATTAATAAGAAAAAAATTTAAATCCTATGTCTTGCCTTATCATGTATTTTTCCCTTTCTTTTTTCAATTTGATGATTTCGGTTATTTTCAATATGTTTGGCTTTGCAATGAGATACATAAAACAAAGGAATGGAATGTTCAGTGTGTTTTAGTAGATCCATTGAACAATAAATTACAGTGAGATATAATGTCTAGGTCTATAATCCAAAATGTGGTAATCAGAAACTGAGTCTACAAATATACTTCTTGTCTAGGTAACCTTGAAGTTTTCCAAATATTTAGCAAGTAAGAGTTAAATATTTCTTTTACCAGTAAAATCATATGTTACTCAATTATTATCAATCTAATTTTTCATTTTCATAAATAATAAGCAATTAGTCACAGGTTATATTTAATTATGAATAACTGATAGCATAATACTGATATGACCTCCCTTACAGAAACATGATAAAATCACTTATGCTTTAGGTCGATGTAACAGAAAACCCAACACACCCTCAAATAACAGAAAATCCCACAAACGGAGAGTTACTGAAATAGAGGTTTGTGTTTCTCACAGAGAAAGTGAAAGTGGGAGGTTTAGGCCTTAGCACGGACCCGTCTTTATCTTTCTGCTCCACTCTCCTTAGCACACAGTCTTCATTCTTAGGCTTAGAAGATGGCGGGGCACAACTAGGCCCCACAGTGCAGGAGCATTGCTAGCTCACTATGTGCATTTTAACCAACATGTGTTAATTTTTTGTAACTCCATCTAGTTCTTTCAATCTACAGATTATTGACCAGAACCCTCCCATGATCATCCTCAGCTGAAAGTGAGCCTGAATAATCAAGGCTTTTAGTTGTACACACATCTTCCTGAGAAATGTCCTTTTGTTACCACTCAATGTGGGGCCTTCTGCTCGCTGCAAAACATGCCAGTAGTCAGGAGGCAGGGTGGTAGGAGAAAAAGGACTTTTTTATTACAGCTTGCTAGCAAGAGGGAAGATGGCCAACTCATGTCCAAAAGAAGCATGTTAAGTGGGCACGAAATCTTACAGTAGTTATATAGGCCATTGGGTTATTGGGAGGGGGTTAGAAATGTTGACCTTCTGGTGTTATAGACTGGGAGTGCCACACCAGATCTTTCAGTTTTCACTGATGATGACTATCAGCATAGATTCTCTGTTTGGGGGTCATCACATTCCTAAGGAACTCAAAAAAGCAAAGTTATCATCTTATTGCAGCTGGGAGGTACATGCACAAGCAGGGGTCGTAAAATCTATAGAGCAGTTAGATCTCCTGGAGGGTGCATATTCCAGCTAGGTTAGTTTGTCAGAGGTCATTCAAAGTTACAATAGAGTTTTTCTTTTCTACAATATGGTTTCCCTTATGTCAACCTTGTCTTGAGCCAGTATCACTTTTGCCTCACCCATCACAGCTTCCCAGGGCTCTTTCCAAAGAGGAGACTACATCTGGCTAAAGAGGAAAAGTCCCAGTGAGACCATATTGTAGTTCCCCGACATCATATCTGTGTACAAATACTTCTGAGCAGAATCCAGACATTTCCATTTCTCCTGAGAGAAATCTACAGCCACATTCCTTAATATCACTGATTCCTGGGTCATGGCTTTCACTTTACTGGACCTGATCTGTATTTCTCTGGATTCTTTTCCTGGGGAAATATAGAGATTTTTGGCTGCTGTGGTCTAAAATGAGCCGATCTGGCCTCCTCAGCCACCTGGCCCCACAACTTGGGAGTACTGTCTTCTCTTTTTAATTTGATAGGTGTTTTACTCTGAAATATGAGAATGTTTTGAGAGGAAATGAGTTTGTCAATTACTAATAATTTTTCCACGTCCTCTTGGGCTCATTAAAAAATGATTTATCTTTAAGTTATTTGGAGAATATAGTATTTGTGAAGTTAGAGGAACTAAATTGAAGATGTCGATTAACTTATGCTCAATCTTTAAAACACGAATTGTCTTTTGTTATCTAACGACATACAAACTTATGGGGCTTTGACATTATACCTTCTATGCCTTTCTTTTTAAAGCTTAAGATGTGTAATTATTGTTCTTCAGAACATACCTACCACAGATTTTTCATATAAATAGAAGATTTATCATCATAGGCAATTTTAACGTGTTGTCTTTGACAATAGGACCAAAGAGCGATTTGTGGAAGAATGCGATTCCTCTTTGATGTCAGAATGGAAGCTCAATGATTTGAGGTCATATTACTTTTCTTTCTTAAGAGGTTATGGGTCTGTTATCCATGATCGTTCTATACTACTATGTTTAGAAGTAGTTTATATGTTTGTTATTTCCGTGCTTTTTTTTTCCAGCTCTTATCTTTCTGCATTAAAAATCTCCGATACTTTTGTTTGCTTATTTGTGCATTTTTTTTGTTTGCAAATGGGTGTCTTCCATCCTCTGGACCATTTCAGTTGGCAGTGCTGTTTTGGTTGTTTAAGTTGTACTTGCTGGTGATAGGAGTGTAGTAAAACTAACGGGTGTTTTTTTGCTTCACTTCCCTAAAGTGCCTTTTATTGAAAACTGTATGTTATCCATGCAGAATTAGATAAACCTCTGCTCGCAAATAGAACACCTAAGCAAGAAGTACTTAGAACTAAGAGTGATGTAAAAACTGAAGTTTGGTTGTAGCAAGTTCAAAGTACCTTTAAAGTTAGAGGACATTTAAAAATATAGTGAATTTAGAGAATTGCAAATTGTGTTAGAGTGGGTTTTTTAAAAAAAAATTTATTTTGAAATAATTATAGACTCTCAGGAAGTTGCAACAGAGTACAGAGAAGGCTCCTGTACTCCTTGCCAAGCTTGTGCTAGTGGTAATAACTTGCTTAACTATATTGCAGTGTAAAACCAGGAAATTGATATTGATACAATCTACAGACCTCATTCAGATTTCACCAGTTTTTACACGCGTTTATTTGTGTGTGTATACTTCTTTGCAATTTTATCACAAATCTATATTGATGTAACCGTCACCGCAATGAAGATACAGGACTATTCCGTCACCAAATAGGAACTCCTCCTTCCTTTATACTTACACTGTCCCCTCTCACCTCCATCCTAACCTTTGGCAAGCACTGATCTATTTTCCATCTCCATAATTTTTTTCATTTTTAGAATGTTATATAAGTTAAATTATCAATATGTAATCTTTGGAGGTTGTCTTTTTTTCACTCAGCCTGATGCCCTTGAGATCTATCCAAGTTGCATTTATCAATAGTTTGTTCCTTTGTGTCGCTGAATAGTATTTCATTGTATGGATATACCACAGTTTGTTTACCCATTTAGGTAAATGGGTGAAGAACATTTGGATTGTTTCCAGTTTTTGGCTCTTAAAAATATTGCAGTAAAGCTAAGATATAAATATTTATGTGTGGGTTTTATTTGAGAGAAATACCTGGGAGTGTGATTGTTGGGTCATATGCAAGTGGATGTTTAGTTTTATAAGAAATTGCCAAACTATTTTCCATAGTGTCTGTACCATTTGTATTCTGACCAGAAACGTATGAGGGATCCAGTTTATCTGCATCCTTGCCAGCATTTGTTTTGTCACTTTTTAAATGTTAGTTGTAGGTGTATAGTGATAGACCATTGTGGTTTTAATTTGCATTATTATAATAGCTAATTATGGTGAAAATCTTTTAAAGTGTTATTTGCCACCTGTGAATCCTCTTTGGTGAAATGTCTATTCCTGTCTTTTGTCCATTTTTTAACTGGATTGACTTTTTTTTTTAATCTTTGAGTTTTAAGACTTCTTTATATATTCCAGATACAAGTCCTTTGTCAGATATTTGTTTTGCAAATATTTTCGCCTAGTCTGTAGCTTGCCTTTTCATCTTCTAAACAGAGTCTTTCAGAGAACAAAACTTTTTAATTGTGATGAAGTTCAGTTTACTGACTTCTTTGTTGCATGGATCATGCTTTTGTTGGCATGTATAAGAGCTCTTTGCCTAGTTCTAGGCTCTGAAGATTTCCTCTAGTTTTCTCTTAGAAGTTTTATTGTTTTACGTTTAAGTCTGTGACCCATTTTGAGTTAATTTTTCTATAAGGTTTGAGGTTTAGGTGAAGGTTTATTTTATTGCCTGTGGATGTGTGATTCCTTTTTAACATCATAAACTGACAGACTTGTATTGGGGAGCCACCTGATCAAAAATAAATTAGTCTTTAGTCAGGTTTCACTGAGATATGTGAATGATGACAATTTTATATCTATTATAGATTATTGAAAGCAGTGGGAACTAATTAACCTGTCAGTTTTCTTATTTCTAAGATCTTATTTTAACTTTTGATTATTATCATAAGGCAGTCTCAAAACTTTAGGAAGCAGGGGAAAGATAATTTGTGAAATATACGTTAATTTATTCCCAAGTAGTTACCTCATGTTAAGAATTTTTTGTTTTAATTTTCATATTTTTCTGTTATGTTATAGCTTTACTTTATTGATTTATATTCCAAACATATATAGATATTAACCTATATAGTAGATTGAACTTGTAATTTTAATTTGACTTTTTAAGGTTTTTCTTATTTCATGTCTTATACTTAGAACCCACTCATTTGTCAGTATCATATATTCTTCAGTTCTACATTATAAAAAACATTTCTTTTAAAAACAAGGTTCATTCATTTTGTCTGTTTAATTGACTTAAATGATGAATAAGTCTCCAAAATATTTTTATGTTATGCTCTCCTTTGTATGAATGAATTTGTTAAATCTTAACTAAAGTAATGTCAATATTTCCTAAGGTTAGTTGCTTTTTATCTAGCTGAAATTAGCCTTTGGTTTATTTCGGTCGTAATATTTACTTTGATGTTTGTCAGGATTCATTGTGCTATTAATATATTAGACATCAGAGCATGTCCATTTCCAAACAGAAATTGCTTAGATGTTGAGAGATGAAAGTTGTTTTTATTACTTGGGCAAAATTTGGAAAATTTATGAATAAGATAGCTAAAAATTTATCCACCTTTAAACACAAAAGTAAAGTGGAATTTTTGAAGATTTGTTCCTTCTACAATGATTACTCATTATGATGAGTCTGAGGCACTAAACATCCAAAAGAGACTTCTGCCAACTCTCCTGATAATAAATTATCATCGTCATCATCACAATAATACTTATTACAGTTTACGTGCATGTCATTTTGTGTGCATTGGGTCTGAGATCTGCATTTCTAAGAAGCTCCCAGGTGATGCTGATGCTACTGTTTCACAGCTAATGTTTTGATTAGCAAAGCATGGCATGGTCCCAACCTCAGTTCAAAACTGAGTTAGTAATGGACCAATTTTATTCTGTAAATATTTGAGTTATGAGTGTATGTTCTGATTTTTTGAAAATAAGTAATCCGTATATACGAATATAGTTAACCAGATTATTTAATTGTTTAGTGGTCACAACGATGCTTCTACTTGTAGGTAAAAGGGGTTTTATTTTAGTATTATCAAAGTTGCTTTTTCTTGCATCTGCATTGTGAGTTTCATGGTTGCGTATGAGTCTTTAGGATAAGACACAGAAGGTGACCACATAGAGAAAAATTATTTCCCACACTGGTGTTCCAGGGTATACATGGTCATCTGAGTCACAGCCCGTTTGATTAATTTGCTTATTTAACAAATCTGTTTTCGCCATCCTCTTTGTCCAGGCATTTTATTATATGCTAGCAGAACAAATATGAGTAAGATAGGCTTCCTACCTGACGGGAGCTCTAATTGGGGAGATGAACAAGTAAACACAGTTATAGTAAATTTTTGTGCATAAAATTCAGTGTAAGAGGGATGAAAGCATACCCTATTCTGTTAAGGAAGGGAAGTATATACCACAAAGAAGTTCATTTGAATTGCTTTAAATTCTTAAAATTATCTCCCTATAAAAGGAGGACTGAGTCTTGAAGAATGTGGACAAAGTCTATGACACTCTTTTGGAAAAAGTCAAAGAATATGACAGCTAATTTTAATCATCATTAAAATTATAATGATGTTACCATAAGACCTTTACACAGCTTTCGTTGCTTTTAAGTGAAAGTTTAGTTGCAAAATGGTTCAGTTGCAAAATGTGCTTGTGTAAGAATTGCCACATTGTGTAAGAACCGAAGCCTCTAAAATGGTTTATAAATCATGTTTGATAACATATCAGTATGTTTCTTTATAACAGATAAGCCCATTTTGGAAGAGATTGTGGACTCTTTTTAGAGGCAATGAGGCAATTCCTAAGTAAGCTAAGGGCACCTCTTCCTGAATGAGTCAGGGGGACATTTTGATGAGTGCTACCCAGTCTGGAGGGCCCCAGAAATGCAGATGAATGCTGAATGCCCTCTCCTAACCCCACCCTAAGTGTCTCACCTAGATCAGCACTATCCAATAGAAATATAATATGAGCCACATATATAATTTTAAGTTTTCTAGAAGCCACATGAAAAAAGGTAAAAAGAAACAGATAAAATGAATTTTTATAATACATATTTATTTAACCCAGTATTTTCAAAATATTGTTGTTTCAGTATGTAATTAAAAAAATTCCTGATGAAATATTATATTTGTTTGTCATACTAAGTCTTTGGAATCCGACGTGTGCGCACTTACAGCCCTTCTCAGTTGGGACTAGCCATGTGTCCAGTGCTCAATAACCACGTGTAGCTAGTGGCTACCGTGTTACAGAGTGCAGGTTTGGATTATATATCTGGAAGAGAGTTTTTATAGAAAGAGTTGATATGACCTGTAAAGACATTGAAGGGGAGGATTAAGGAGGGAGAGATGTTCAGTCAGCTCTGTGTTCATGATAACAGAGGAAAGTAGACCCATAGAGATTCTGATTTTGCCTGAGAGAGGGTGTCAGCAATTATTGACTGGTGACTATTTTTTATACTTGAAGAGAAATAAATGGATGGTGTCTTAAATGTAAACGTGGAGATATGCCACATAGTTAATTAACTGGGGCTGACTAGGTAGCCACATTTCCCCAGGTTAATTAGCATGGCTTCTTCACATGGCCCTTTTCATTGAGGTAATTCTTATTTATGTCATATTTTTATATGCTAAATGCTTTACATCTGTCCATAAAGCAAAAACAAACACAAAACAGAGCATGGGTCAGCCAAACTAAGTCTGGTCCTTTGTGATAAAGTGACTGAGATCAGGTGGCTATTCGGTGCTCTAATAGTCCTAGACCTTTTGGGAAGTGCCAACCTCTCTTTGACTCAGCCCAAATAGCAGCTGTTCCTAACTTTGTTGTCCCAAGAATCTTGCTTATGTGTAGTGACTCATTATGACTTGCATTATTCCTGAGTTGGTCTCTGCTAGTAAGACAGAAGGGTTGGAAGGATTGTTCCTGGATCACTCTTCACACTATCCACGGTGTTGTGGGTGTGCGTGCGTGCATGAACAGATGTGTGTCTTGTGTTTTATGCCCTTTTCTTCATGATTTGCTTTTCTTATTTCCTCTAGATGGTAGTTTCTTCATTGTTTATACTTTTTATTAATTTTGCACCTACTCACTTTGCATACTTAATACCTACCCTTGTAATAATAGTTGAAAACATTACCATTTATAAAAGTATTTGCCCTCATGAGATTGTCAATGAGATTCTTCCTATGGAATGCTGTTTTCTTTCTCTCTTTAGTGTTGTATTTCCCGCATTATAGCTGCTCAGTGCATGCTGACTCCCTGAGCATTCCTGGGATGCTGGATGTGTGTTTTGAATTTAAGAAGAGAAGAGTATATTTAGGGGACACATTATTGTCTTTTAGGTGTTTTCTATAGAGCTTAGAATAGAGGTTTGCACTCAAGGGGTACTTTGCAAATAGATATTGACTGAAGGTCTGGTCCAGCTTGTTCTGTAATATTAGAAATATAGAAATATTTATTACCATAATTGTTGGAGAGTCCCTAGAAACGCCTGAAAGTAATTCTTCTATCATGTAGTGGCCTGGGGTGGGCAAAACCTCCCTCACATACAGCTTCACCTTTCTGGTGTCTAATACTACTCGTAAAGAAGATTGTAATTTGTGCATTGTGCTTTTATCAGGTTGCTGTTCCCAATGCAGTTAGTGTAATTTTTCATTTCCTAACAGTCCTCGGGCAATTCTGTTTAACATGCTTTCTATTTCAGGACGTTCTCCTATTTAAAAAACTTCTTTCGCCTCAGGCCCAACGTGCTTTTCTAGCCAGGCCGGTAGTAATTTCCATCCTTGCTGGCTTCATTCACCTTCCCCGTTCAAGTTCTGTATGGATTTCCTAGCAATATCTTTTTGTGTGTGTTTGTGGCTTAGCAAAGGCTGGGATGCCTGTGCTTTTTATTTGTTGAAATTACTTTGGTTCACAAAATATTTCATTCTTATTACTATGGAGAGAGATGCATAGTTTTTACTTTTATTTCAAATCTGTTGTAGTTTTCTACATTGTAAACCGGACTTTGGTTTCTTAATGAATAGAATTTTAACTTTCCACCTGAACTTTTAAAGTCATCCACAAAATTTTCTTGAGCAACAGTATTCACACTAGACTAACAGACTGTTTTACTTTTACTGACTTTAAAAAAAGGGGTTTCAGGTTCATTTAATAGGTAGCAAATTTCCTTTTTAAGGTGGTATTTGAAAAAGGAATGAAACAAATTACCTAGATTGCCGTCCCAAATGATCATGAATTAGGCTTGATTTTGGCTTGAGATAAGACAGCGTTCTAAGCTGAGGCTCTTGAAGCTGCTTTTGGGTTTGAATTTGGTAATAATGACATACTCTAGAGGGATTTAGGTGTTTAATGGGGGAAAGTCTAGCAGACAGAGGCATACAAGAGAAACCCTTTGTTCTCTTATCATTAGCCACTTCTGGCTTATGCTGAGGTAGATTTTGAAACGTTTATTGTAATATCAAGGTTTTCAAGAGATTGTAGGGAGTATATATAGAGAGACCTAGGGCTAAACTAAAATTAGAACTCTGGCTATGTTGTAAATATGTATTGTACACTTGTATATTCATACATATTATATTTGTGTGTGTTTGTGTGTGGATAAATGGTTTTTATATCGTGTCTTGTCCGTGTTGGAATAAATGTTTTGCTATTCATTGTGCTGATATTTGTGTACAAACATGGCAGAATATGGGGATTTTCCTCTCGGGATAGTCGTCTTGGTGTTAAAAAGGAGAAAGGAAGAGTGCTTCATTTTGGGTTATAGTTTGCATTTTAGATTTCATTGCTGTTCCTCTCAGCTCCCATCTGTGTTGACATTTGGGAATTTTGTCGTTGCTCTTTCTCAAGTAGAGTGGAAAAGCTTCAAACAGAATTTACACTTTTAAATACGGCAGAGGCTCTATCACATCGTGATTCACTCTAGGGCTGAGTACTTTTTCTTTGGCTTAAAAAAAATCAAACATTTTGTTGAACGAAATATTTCTCAAGCTTATGATGCTACTGATTGTTATACATTATTAACAACCATTTTTGCATTAATGGAAAGTTCAGGCTGAAAATACAATGATAAATATTAAAATTTTAGGCACAATATTTTATGGCATCAAAGAGATGTTTTCTTACAGATGTATTGTTAGTTAATTGCTATTAATGACATTTACTTACTTTTTAATTAAGGTTCAGTTATAACTGAGGAAATAGTAAAAATGTGGATGAGCCACAAATAGCCAGATTCGGAGCTGTATGACTTCTGTTGGCTCTATGCTCTATTTTTTTTTTTAACTTTCTAAATCCATTTTAAAGTTTTTTTAACTTTAAAATGCCAGTCCAGTGGCATTTTCTGTGTGTGTGTGTGTGTGTGTGTGTGTGTGTGAGAGAGAGAGAGAGAGAGAGAGAGAGAGAGAGAGAGAGAGAGAAAGATATTTTGGCTGAGAGATTAGTGGCCTAGGCCACAGTCCAGTTACTGACAGGTTTGGCTGATTTATTCCTGCTTTACTCAGTTTGGATTGCTGTAACAGAACACCATAGATTGAGTGGCTTAAACAACAGAAATTTCTTTCTCACAGTTCTGGAGGCTGGCAATTCCAAGACCAAGGCACTAGCAGATCCAGTGTCTGGTGAGGGCGTTCTTCCTGGTTTGCAGATGTCTGTCTTCTCGTATCCCCACTTGGCAGAGAGGAGAGAGAGAGAGCAGCAGCAAGCTCTCTCCAGTCTTTTCTTATAAGGGCAGTAATCCCATTCGTGAGGGCTCTACTCACATGATCTAATCACCTTCAAAGCCCCCACCTCCTAATACCATCACATTGGGGTTAGGATTTCAACATATGAATTTTGGGAGCACACAAACATTCAGTGATAACAATTCCCTAAGGATTTTTCTAGCTCTTAGTGTTTGTGATGGATTCTTTTTGATAAAGTTAGTTTTTAGATTTTAAACAAATTGTATGTGTGTGCATGTAGGATCCCAAAAAGGAAACCCCAACTCCAGTCTCGGGAAGGCGCGGGCCCACAGACACAGAAGACCGAGCTTGATGCAAACGCAAGAGGTTTATTAAGCGGAGCTCCGGGTCGATCCGTATCTTTCGCAGGAGACAGAGGAGTCGACCCCGGACCTT